CACCGGCTCCTCTGCCCCCGCAGAGCTCCGAGGACATTCGCTGCAAGTGCATCTGCCCCCCATACCGGAACATCAGTGGGCACATCTACAACAAGAATGTGTCCCAAAAGGACTGGTGAGTTGGGCTTGAAGCCTGGGGGGTCAGCCCATGAAAGCCACCAATGCTCCAGAGTTGCCAGCTGGTGCTAAGGCAGCAATTCCCTGCCTGTGTGTTTGCAGAGGGAGCTTGGTGGGTGATGTTCAACCCAGGCCAGGGGCAGTTTTTAAACAGAAATTGAGGAATCTGGGATGATTTCTTAACCCATGGCTCTTGGAAGATGTAAGGTGTACCCTCCAGTCCCCCTCACCTGGACTGGATCCCTGAAAAAGGCACTTGGACATCTAACCCAGGACTAGCTGAGCTATGAGAGGAACTCTTAAAACCAGATTGGTGTTATCAGCCTGAAAGGAGAGCTGGGACACACAAAAATGTCACCCCCATGTCCTTCCACAGAGCACTGGTTTCACCTTCACCTTGTCCTGCTGCTGATCTTGGTTTGTTTGTGCTGCAGCAACTGCCTGCACGTGGTGGAGCCCATGCCAGTGCCTGGGAATGACGTGGAGGCCTATTGCCTGCTGTGTGAGTGCAAGTACGAGGAGCGCAGCACCACTACCATCAAGGTAAGGGCAGCTCTCTCCCCGTGCCTGGCTCCTTCTACTGGCCATGCCACGCCAGCCCAGGCACTGCTGCACTGGTGGGTTCCTGCAGAAGAGCCCAGAAAGAGAAAATCAAACTGTGGGCACACTGTGGCAGTGCCAGGAGCTCACTCTCTCAACTCCCTGGAAGGAGGTTGGAGCCAGGAGGGGATTGGGCTCTGCTCCCAGACAACCACTAACAGGACAAGAGGACTTGTCTTAAGCTGCACCAGGGGAGGTTTAGGTTGGACATTAGGAAGAAATTGTTCACAGAAAGGGTGATTACATGTTGGAAGGGGCTGCCCAGGGAGGTGGTGGAATAACTGTCCTTGGAGGTGTCCAGGGAATGACTGGATGTGGCACTCAGTGCTCTGGGCTGGGTAAAAAGGTGGGGATCGGTCACAGGTTGGACTCAACAATCCCAGAGGTCTTTTCTCACCTAACTGATTCTGTGATTTCTGTGTCAGAGTCGGGAGTGCTCCTGGCTGTGAGGAGCTGCAAGAAGAGTCTTCTTGCTGGGGATTTGACAGTGCCAAGCACCTCTGAGGAGGGACCCATCTCGTTGGTGTACTCTCACATGCAGCACGTGCCCTGAGCTGGCACAGTGAGGATGGTCAGCACAGCCTGTGCAGTGACAGCACATCATCAGCCCCTGGCAAGGGCAGGAGACCTTGTGAGCAAAACGAGAACAGAAGAGATTTAACAACAGAGGCAGCTGCAAAGGACCTTTCTGACCTCTGTGGTGCTTCTTACCCAGGGTGCTGATCCTCTCCCTTGTGCTCCTTTCCAGGTGATCATCATCATCTACCTGTCGGTGGTGGGGGCCCTGCTGCTGTACATGGCATTCCTGGTGCTCGTGGACCCCCTGATCCGCAAGCCCGACCCCTACACCCAACCCCTGCACAACGAGGAGGAGAGCGAGGTGAGGGCTGCAAGGGGCACGTGGGTGGCTCTGGTCGTGGTGCAGACAGGAGGACAAGAGAGGGGGTGACAGGGAAACAGTGACCTCCTGTCTGATCCAGTGAAGGACCAGCACTGCTGCTTTGTGGGCACCCACACAGGTGAACACTTAGATCAAATCTGTGCAAGTCATGCAGAAGCAAAGGGAATAATCAAAGTTCTAACCTTAAAAGTTCTCAAAGTTCTAACCCTAACCCTGTCCTCTCTGGCAGGGGGTGACTTAGTCCCAAGTGGCCTGAATTTGGTATATCTGTCTAGATGGAACCAGAACTCAAACGGATCCTGTTTATGCAGTGTCCCACCTGGAGTCACTTGGTGCTGAGCTTCCAGGGAATGATGGGCTTCAGTATTTGCTGGAACATCTTATAGGCACATCAAAGAGCAGCCTCGAGGGGCTGTTTGACACTGCTCTGAGGCTGGGCCCTCTTGTATCCAAGCTGTTGTTCCTTGTGCTTCTCCCCAGAGCAGAATTTCATTCAAATCCCATCTTTCTGTGGGACACTGGCATACAAATCTTGGTCAGAAAGATCAGGACCTAGCAGCAAAGAGAGAGCCTCTGTCTCTCTCACATACACATTTTGGGGGAGGACAGATTTCTTCCTGCATGAAATTCCTGCAATTTTAGCACTGGATCAGACTGTCCTTTTTACATTTTAAGCACAAACTATTTGACTCAATTCTTTCATACTGTGATATAAGTGAGGAGTAGCTGCTCCAGTGTGCCCAGGCCCTCCATTACCACCCTCTGCTGAAAAAGGAGGTCCTGCAGGAGGAGATAAATTGGATCCTAAAATTGTGGGTTCGCTCCCTGCACCACAGCTATGATTCAGAGTTAGATCCAGGTGCACTCTGTAAATGCCCGGTGTTAGGTGAGGTTTATATCTTAGTCCAGTGTGCTGGATTCTGGACAGGCCTTGGTGCTCATGTGCCACAACGGACGCCCATCCACGACAGCAATCTCTGGCTCAGTTCCAGGGGGGTGATGTGGTTCACTGTGGCTCCTTGCAGACTCTGAGCAGTGGATTTCTAGCAGAGCTTTAGCCTTAGTGCAGCTCCTCTCCTGGGGACTTTTATTTGGGTGGTCCCCAAGAGCAAGGAGTTGGGGGCCTGGCGTTGAGGGGCTCTGGAAAGGTGGTTCTCCCTCAGGACAGCTCAAGCCTTGAGTTGCTCTTTCAGTGGTAGTATCTCCCCGAGTCAGCTGCCTCCCTCTCCTGGGCATTCCCTGGTGCCCTGCACTGCCCCTTTGCCTTGCAGGACGCTCGCTCCTTGGCTGCAGTGTCCACCCCGGCTGGAGCCCGAGCCAACACGGTGCTGGAGCGCGTGGAAGGGGCCCAGCAGCGCTGGAAGAGGCAGGTGCAGGAGCAGAGGAAGACGGTGTTTGACCGGCACAAGATGCTGAGTTAGATCCCTGTGGGCCCTTGGCATCACTTCCAGGACACGGGACAGCTTCTGGTGCAGCTGGACAGTGATGGCCCTCGGGACACTATGCTGTGGACTGAAAGCTCGAACCCTTCCCCGATTTACCGTCAGCCCCAAATGCCTCCTCTGGTTCTGCCCCCTGCCCTTCCCCTCTCAGAGCCCAGAGGCTCCTTCCCCTGCCTGGCTGATTCTGGGGCTGCATGTGGAAGCCCCACACTCCTGGGGCTCCATCAACCCACCCCACATCAGACAGGGATCTCAGCACGAGCGCTGGGAGCTGGCTGAGTCTTCCTCGGATAAAAATAGTGGGATAATTTTGATGTAGGATAAATTATGTGATGCTCCTCCAGGATGAAACAGCCACCTCCTCCTCTTCCTCCAGTGTGCACTGATGTTAACTGGGCATTGTGGTGCACGTGTGCAGCACTGGGAGGAAGAGGAGGAGGTTCCTGCCAGCTGCTGCTTCTACTTATCCTGGTGCAAATGGAGAGATTTCCACACCCCAGTGAAGTCTGTTCAGGTTTACACTGGCACAACCAAGGCAGCAGCTTGTTTGTGTGCCAGCGAATATCACCAAACCAATTGGTACCTGCACCAGTGAGAGTCCAGCAGGTAAAAACAGCGGATTTACATTTATATCTTTTATTCTTTAGCAGTGGGTAAAAACCTCCTGGGGAGAAACCTTTCCATTTGTACCCATGCTGGTGACCCTTGGTGCTCTCCCAATGAGGGCAGAGCATTTGTGTCCAAGAGAACCAGGGCAAAGGCTCTACTGGAGCACTGGAAACACTTGTCTGGGCCTTGGGGCCCTGGGGGAGGGACACTTGTGCTACTCAAAGCACTCTGAGAGCTCTGGCCAGACTTGGGCTGTGTGGAGGAAACCAAAGTGATTCTGTGATGTGCACGCTGAAAACATTTGGAACGTCAGGAGGTGCTGGAGGTCATCGTGTAGCATCTCTGTATTAAATGCAGACAAAGATCCACTACCTGTGTGGCTTTTTTTCAGGGAAAAAATCCCCTCCTGCCAGGCCTGGGACTCTCCAGTGCCTTCCAGTGCCCAGCAGGTGAGTTGATGCCACTCAAGCCAGAGCTGTGGTTATGGCACTCGGGTGTTGGGGCACTGCAGGTGTGTCCCTGGGTTGGAAAAAACCCTCTGAGGTCATCCAGTCCAGTCTGTGACCATGATTATGACCCTGCCAGACAACCCAAACAGAAGATCCTAGGGGCCTGTGTGTTCCCTAGTTCCCCTCCAGCACCTCACTGGGCCGAAAAGGACTCTGAGCTCCACGTTACACTGAGGTCACATTTTCCTTGAGCTATCCTTGTTCCCTGGAGCTCAGTTCTAGACCTTTCTCCCCCTTGTAGAAATCCCATCTGTCCTTCCCTCCAGGTGGGAATCCCTCATGGACACAGGATGTGGTCCCTGGGAACTGATTTCTTCCCTTCCTCGAGGGGGGAACAAGGAGCTGGTGAGAGGCTGAGCCGGCACGATGGGTCCATCTGGTGGCCACCACCCACCCCAAACAGCACCACCACTCAGGGGGTTTGGTGAGCAGCAGCCCCAGACCTTCCCTTGACCCTCCCAAGAGCAGCTCAGAAATGGGATAGGAGGGGAGGAAAGGAATGCAGTTTGGGTGAGTTAGAAAACTTAGGGAAGGGACGATGTGGAGAGGCTGCCAAATGCCTGATTAATTACTTGATTTGTTAATTAATTGATCAGCTTTGTCCTGTACATCATCCTCCACGGGAGGAAATATTTTCTGGTGCCCAGCCTCTTCCCCTCCCTGTACCCCCTCTGTTGCTCACTGGGGCATCCCCCAGGTGGGCACATCCTGGTGGGCCCTGCTCCTGGCCCCATCCACATCCCATAGCAGTGGTTCCCATCCCTTGGCAGATGCCAGCAGGAGTCAATAGTTTAATTCCTTATAAAAAAAAGGAAATGAGAAAAATAAAGGACCTCTTGGAACAAAACCCAGCTGTGCTTTGACAGCTGTGCTCAGGTGCCTGCCGTGGTCCAGATGTCGATGCTCCGGATGATGAGCCACTCGCTCTGGGCCTGGGTTACCCGGATCCTCACACATTCCACGGGGCCAGAGATGCTCCTCTCCAGCCCCCGCCGGTCCAGCGTGCCCTTCTCAAAGGTTCCCACTGGGATGTAGGTGGAGCAGTCGCGGCCATCGCGGCGGCGCTGCCGGCCCAGCTCCAGCACCCCCGCACGCAGGAAGTCGCCCCGGCGCTCCTCGGAGCCCGTGAGCACCCGCACACGGCTGACCTGGGCCGGCTGCTGGAACACCACCGAGAAGACGCTGCCAGCTGCTGGGTCCTTCCCCCAGAAATACCCCTCTGCTGAGCTGTAGGCCTTGAGGGGCTTGTAGTGCTCGAAGATGGCCATGCTGGTGTACAAGGATGCTGGAGGGTTGTCCGGAAGGTCCAAGGCGTCGGCCTGGAAATCATCATCTTCCAGCCGGTTGACGGTGCCCTGGAAGGAGGAGTAGAGGCCCATGTGCTGGAAGAGGGACGGCTTGAAGCGGATGACGTCCTTCTGGGTGAGCAGGTTGCGGAAGTGCACCAGCAGCCAGTCACAGGGCATCTCCTGGTAGAAGAGGAGGAGGAAGCGAGCCAGGCGAGGGAGATCGCTGGAGTGGTAGAGCTTCCCAATGTAGCCCAGCTTGGAGAACTCCAGGGTGGCCCAATTGGAGCCCTCCTGGGAGGCCAGAGCCTTGCGGATGGCCGTCAGGAAGGACCTGGCGCACCACACGTCGTCCTCGATCATCAGGTAGTAGGAGGAGAGGTTGGCGGCGAAGGCGAGCAGGAAGGCGTAGTCCACGTTCTGCTTGGAGCGGAACCTCACCCGCTCCTCAGGGTCGTTGAAGTTCCTCTTGAGCCCTTCCAGGGTGGGGTAGAGCTCTTGGGGGGCATGGATGAGCAGCAGCCGGCCCAGGAGGACGTGGTGAGCGAACTTCTGGGCGATGCTGAGGGCGACGCGCGTGTTCCAGCCGGGATCCTTGTCGGCCAGGTGCACCACCACCACCATCTCCTGCAGCTCCTGCTCTGTGGACTGGCTGAACAGGGACTGCAGTGTGGCAGGGAGGTAGAAGCCGCGCGGCCGCTGCACCGACGCCAATCCCACCGCCAGGAATTCTGCACGGCAAAGCAAAGGCGTGAGCTGGGATGCATCGTGGGGAGGTTCTTCCCTGCAGGCCACGAGGAGGGGGCTCCAAAAAGCTCTTCCCATGGCTATCCCCCATGGTTAATGCTGTTTATAACCCTGTGTCCAGGGCTGCAGGGTTCTCTCTGAGCTGAAGCCCCCCCATGTCCCAGAAGGGGCCCAAATGTGAGGGAGAGGATGGGATGAGGCAGCAGGGGCTCCTCTGAAAGAGAAATACTTGGGGAAAACACCTTAAAATAAAAAGCCAAACTTGGAGAAGTAACAGTGCAGAGTCTACAGGGCAGGAATGGCACGTTGGCGTGGCTGCACATCCTGGAAGTGTGCCCTACTCTGAACCTTGTGGAGATGCCCCGCACTGGATGAGACATCAGTCCTACCCTCCCCACGGCCCAGCAGGGGTTCAGCTGCTCCTGCTGCTGCTCTGTGCAGCACCATCCACGTGCTGGTTCCAGCGCAGCCTCGTGTGGGGCTGCCCCAAGTTCCTTCCTCTGGGGTTTGGGCAGGAGCTGCTTTTAGTGCACCTGCCAAGAGCTTGGCCCACATCTCCCCCACTGTGTGGGTATCCCCATGATCCAGTCCACCACCTCCACAAGAACCTCAACCCCAGGGAGGTGGGATCCCAGCCACCCTTCCCACAGAGGTCTGGGAAACCCTAAACACCTGCAGTCACCCCAGTGCCAAGGTGTGGTGCCATGGACCACACTTGGAGCATGTGGACCATCCCCTACCCCTGTAGCCCCTAGAGTGGTGTTGGCAGGTCCCCAGAGCCCACCTGGGTGTTGGCAGGTCCCCCACCCCAACAGGGTGGACACAGCCCCTCCCTGCCCCGGCAGCAGCAGTGACGGGGCAGGTCCACGCTGGGACGTGCAGCTGTGCTGGGACAGATGTGCAGACCCAGAGCCCTGCTCAGGCGGGGGTCCCAAGCACTCACTTTTTCGGGGTGGCAGGGAGCCAGCCAGGATGTGGTAGGAGACATTGTGGAGTGTGGAGAGCTCGTCCATGTCCCTGAGGATGCGCTGGGCTCCTTCTGGCTGCAGCATCTGCAGGATTGTGTCGCGTGTCAAGCCCCTCAGATCCACCTGGGTGGGAGCCACAGGGAGCAAGGTCAGACCCCAGAGCACGACAGACACATAGGAGCAAGGGGAACGACAACAGAGGTCCCAGAAGTGAGGGGGAACCCCTGTCCTGCCCTCCAAGCTCCTGGATTCAGGGAGACCCCACTGCTCAGGACAACTCCAGGGACAGAAGAAGGCAGAGCTGGGCTTTGGGAGTGACGTGGTGCAGGGAAGAGAGCAGAGCTGGGGTTGGGGTCTGTGTGGGGCAGGAAATGATGGAGGATGCTCCAGTGGCCACTCCAGTGGGACATCAGTGGTTGGGGACTTACCTCCAGGGGATCCTCTTCCTGCTGGCTGCCCCCATGGAGGAGGAGGAGGAGGAGGAGGAGGAGGAAGGAGGCTGTGAGCACAGCGGTGAGGCAGCGCTTCAGGGAGAATCGCATAGCACCGGGCTGGCACTGCTGAGGGCTGTGGAGGAAGGGGCGCATCAGGGAATAGCCAAGGAAAACCACCATCCCCTGGATGGAACCCTGGGGCAGCACCTGGTTGAACCCCTGGGACTGATCCCTCTGCCCAGAGCACCCAGGGGTGCACACCCAGGGGCAGCCACGGGGCATCACGGGGCACTTGTGCACGGTCCCCTTGGGGCAGGTGGGGCAGGACACCCCAACTCAGCCAGAAAAAGTCCGCCAGGTACAAAATCCACCCCCCTCTCCAGCCCCATAACACCCAGGCTGCCCTCAGACACCCCCACAGCATACCCAGAGCTGCAGACAGAAGAAATGAAGGTGCCACGTGCCTTGGGGAGGGCTTTTGGGTCCCGGGGACACCTGTGGGGCAGTCATCAACACCTCGGGACTTGGCACCGAGCCCTGGGAAACACTCAGATCTCAAATGAGCCCGGGTTGCTCTTCCAGTACCATGAGGATGAAGAAGCTCCCCCAGCCCCTCCTGCCTGCCCTGCTCCCCTCCTGCCTCCAGGCAGGCCCCGTCCCAGCCACGTCCCCTGCTTGGAAGAACAAGAAAAGTGCCCCTGAAGGGACAATGTCACCTCTGAGAAAGTCATGGTGCCCTTGAGATATTTTACCTTGTGGCAGAGGTGTGGCAGAAGGCAAAAAGACTCTGTGTTTGCCTGGTTTTCCATTTTAAATATGACTAGGGCTGCCCTGAAACAGGAGAAGCCTGAGACCCACCCAGTGCCCATCCTGGCAGGGCAGACACACTCAGCCCCATCCGCTCACAGCACCTCAGTTTGTATTGGTCAAAAGCATCTTTGAGTGCAAACGTGGAAGGAAAACCCTCCTAAACCTTCACAAACCAAGGCTGGGCTTCCCAGGACTTCTCCCTAAATACCTCCCTGTATCCACTGGGATGCTCCCAGCCCACCCACAGGCCCCAGGCAGCAATGCAGCACCTCTCTGGCACTGCTCCAGCATGTGCTGTTCTTATTTTAAGGAGAACCTCCCCAGTTTTCCTGCTCAGGAGTCCTTTGAGGGGCTGTCAGCACCTCTCCAGGCAGGTGCCCCCGATGCCACAGGCAGCCTGTCCTTGTGCCACTGCCCTCACCCTCCCAGGAACACAGAGATAAACACTTGGCGACTTGGAGACAGGGAGCCGCGCCCCGGCGGCAGCACAGCCCATCACGGCCCATCACAGCCCAGCACAGCCCAGTACAGCCCATCATGGCCCATCACAGCCCAGTACAGTCCAGTACAGCCCATCATGGCCCATCACAGCCCATCACGGCCCAGCACAGCCCAGAACAGTCCATCATGGTCCATCACAGCCCATCACGGCCCATAATGGCCAGGGAGAGCAGAGGAACCTCCTCCTCTGGGCTGGAACTCAGCCATGGGAGAGCTTTCTGGAGCACTGGGAGGAACAAGCTCCTGGAGCTGCTTAAAATCTCTGTGCAGAGAGCAGGGGAGCAAAGCCTCCCCTTCCCCCACAGCTCTGGGACATGGGGAGCTCATCAGTTTATGGGGGGCAGTGCTAGGAACCCATCTGAGCCACGGGGACATCATGCCCTGAGGCCACCCTGGAGGTAGATTTCTAAGGCCAGAACTCTGGGATCTGAGCTGGGAAGGGCAAGGCTTGGCAGGTGGCAAGGGCTGGGCGTTGGTTACTCCGGGTGGCCAAAGGTTCTTCTGGCTACTGGGGAGTGTCTGGCTGCCAACGGCCCATCCTGCATGGAAAAACAAGGTGCTGCTCAGCACCTCCAGCTCCCACACGCAGCAGCTCCCTGAAAGGAGCCCACGGGGAACAGGGGCAGAAGCTCTAGCAGGGCAGAAGGTAATGAGCTCTGCCCCATAAATGGCCCCCTAACTGGGCTTTGGATTTTTACCTCCATGGAGAAACAAAGAAGCCCGGCTAGATGGGACACCCCACGGGGGTGGAGTGACCCTAGGAAGCATCCCTGTCCCTACTCCTGTCCCAGCACCTCACACACCTTTCCCATAGCTCAGCACCCCACTGGGGACGTCCCCAAAAGCCACCCTGCTGTAGGGACACTGGCCAGGAGGAGCTGGCTGCTCGCCTGGAGCCAAACTACTCCGCCTTGCCGGGAGACTGCGGAGCCAAAGGGGCCGTGTGCCGGAGCAGCCGTGACTCAGTCCAGAGAGGGGAAGGGACTGAGGGGCACTCACAGCCTGGCCCCACGAGCCTGTGAGGAAGGGCTGGATGATCCCGTGAGCTGGCGGCTCCAGCTGCTTCCACTGGCACTGGGAGAGCAGGACTGGTTGCACAGAGAGGAGGGAATAGCCAGGGCTCCCTGTCCCACTGTCAGCAGTGCCTTTCCACGCTGGGGGAAACTGAGGCACGGATAAAGGATTAAAGCTGCATTACCCAGAGGCATGAACACCAGGTCACCTGCAGCACAGGTCAGTGCCCCTCCCCGCCTCCCTGGGAGGGTCCCCGGGAGGGAGAGGGACAGGGGGTAACCCAGAGCCAGAAGCTGAGAGGGGTCACAGCAAACTGTGGCAGCACAATGTCCCCGATGGGCAAATTGCCACCATTTGGGGCTCCTGGGAGCCAGCCCGGGGTCCAGCCCCACAAGCTGCGGGTGTCTCTGCTCCAAGGGCGGTTCCACAGGGGGCAAGGAGGGGAAATGCCGTATTTCGGTAGCACACGACTCCGGGAGGCAAAGCCTTCGGTCAGCACAGGTGTCCCACAGCCCCACAGGCATAGGCAGCTTGGTAAGGGGACACCTGGCTCCTCTCTGACCCCTCAGCCCCCTCAGGCAGCCCTTCCCATGACACCAGAGCTGGCTCCTGCCCAGAACCGCTCCGGATGTGCCCCCCGAGGCGGCAGAGACTTACAGAGGGGCGGCAGCCTGGCAGGACGAGCGGCAGCCTCGCTGTCTCCGGGGTGCTCGGCCCTGGCAACTTCCCCAGGCTGGCCAGACTCCGGATTCTCGCTCGGCAAAGCCCCACCCCGAGCCCTCGCCTGCCTCCCGCAGAGGAGGAGCATCGGTTGGAGCCTCGGGAACCGGCCAGGCCGGTGGGGACCCCGGTGGGACGGGCCAGGGGCCCCGGCCCCAGTGGGAATGGCAGCAGCCTCAGGACGGGCATCCCACGATGGCACTGGCTGTACCCCACCACCCCCATCTCCACTGGTAGCATCACCCCCCTTCGAGGGCTCTTGCCAAGCCTCAGCATCCCAAACTCCAGCTCAAACCTGGCACTTTGGTGGAAACACACAGTAAGTACATCGAGCTGGGCCTGGACACGGAGCAGGCTCAGCTCTTTGCCTGTTGGATTTTCAGCTCTTGGGTTGAGATGGCAAAAACCTCTGGGGCTGCTGAGCCACAACTGAACCCCCTGGCACCCCAGGGCAGAGCTGACTGCCTGGATCCTACCCAGGATGCACCCCTGGGACACCACGGCTTCCCCACACACCCCAGGTCCCCTGGAGCATTGGACATCACAGCTGGGCTGGGATTGAAGCCCCTTCTAATCTCCATGAGCCAAGGTGTGGGCCCTTCCACGGCCCAGTTTGTTCTCAGCTTCTCCATCCTCCAGGCTTTGCTTGTCTCCCACTGTTTCCCTCCTCTGCATCCACAGCAGGAACACAGCTCTGGAGCCTGATGGCATCACTTGTCACCAGGTCAGAACCAGCCCAGCTCCTTCCAACACAGCCACTCACCCACAGCATCCAAACCAAGAGAAAGCCCCTTCCCTGCCCCTCCACCCCACCCTCCCCATTTGTTCACACACAGGCCTGGATCCCATTTGCCTTCTCTCCTTGCTGGCCTGGACCTCTCCTACCTTCAGGAAGGCCCCATGTCTCTTCCAAGGCTCCGTCTTCCACAAATCCCCTGTGGTGACTTCCAGCCCTGGCTCCTCACATGGAAACGGTGGCCTGGGGCTCTTCTGCCAGGACAAAGGTGGCCACAGAGATTGCAGGGCAGGAAGTGGGTGATGGCACTGGGAAGGAGAGGGAGGAACGTTCACAGGCTCCTGGATCCGCTTTCCCCCCAGTCCGGTTTTAAAATCCTCCCATCGTGGGATGCCAGTGGCTCTGTCCCCACAGGGGGCTCAGTGGGGACACCCCATCTGTGCTGGAGCAAGGACAGTCCGGTATTCCCACCAGAGCAGGGGCTGGAAGATGCCAGGAAAGCCAAGGGAGCCAGTCTGGAGCAAGCCAGCAGAGGTTTGATGTTCAGTGACCCGGGGGAGGAAGGGACGTGGGACTGGGTGGCTGCTGGGAGGCGTCACAACAGCAGCAGCTGCAGGAGGGGGAGGGCTTTTCTCACCACAGGTGTCCCCTGACCCCCATCCCTGCGCAGGAAATAACAGGGCTGGGCCCTTCCTGTCCTTGCGGGAAGGAAGGGGAGGGTGGTGGGGGCCTACCAGGGGTCCTGTCCCCAGCACAGCCCTGGGGACCCTGACACAGCCCTGAGGTCCCCAAAACAGCACTGGGTCCCCAGCACAGCCCTGGGGTCCCTGACACAGCCCCGGGGTGCCCAAAACAGCCCTGAGGTCCCCAGTGCTCAAGGGTGCAACAGGCCCCTGCCATAGGAATGTGGGGAACACCTAGCTCTGCAGCAGAGCCACCAAACCCCTCCTTTCGTCCCCTCATGCCACTTCAGGGTGCAGTGGCAAGATCTGACCCTCCCCAGGCACATCCAGCCTGCCTGGAGCAGCAGAGGAATGCACAGCCAGGACACAGCCCCCAGGGCCCAGGCAGTGTGGTCCTGGGTTCTCTCACCCTCCAAGAAAGTCCCACAAGCCCAGCCTGAGCCAGTCACCCCGTTGTGCTATAGGACAAATCCCAAACTGTGTTTGTGGTGCTGGAAAAGGACTCTTGCACCCCTCTCTCCTGTGAGGGGCACAGCACAGCACCCAGGCACAACCAGGGCCCAGCACCCAGAGCCACTCACAACCCCCCCTGGCCCACAACCCAAACATGCTCTGCTCGCTGGAATATTTGCCCTGGAGGAACAGGGAGGTGGCTGAAATGAGGCTAAAAGGCACATCTTTGCTTGGTTTTGGAATGAGCTGGAGAAGGAAGGAGAAGGCCCAGCTCAGGGGAGGAGCAGTTCCCTGGAGCCAAGCACTGGGGTGGGACAGGCACAAGGGGACCCACAGCAGGGCCCAGGCACCCAGCCCTCAGCTTACCCGGCTCAGCTCCTGCTGGACACCAGATCCCTGACAAGGAGGGGAGCAGGGGGAGGCCAGGGTGGTGGCCAAGCCTCCGTGTGTCCCTTGGGAAACCAGAGAGCCAGGCCAGATAAGTTACAGCCCTTCCATTATTCAGGAGCCCAAGCAGGACAAAGGGGAGGTAGAACAGGGGGAGGGGGAGGACTGGGGCTCCAGTCACCACGATGCTGATGTGGGGCTCTATTTGCACACCACCAGGGACCCCTCTGAGCCATGTCCTGCAGAAATGGGTGGCTGTCACACCAAACCACAGCCTCTCCTGTCTGTGCACAGGCTCGCTGAAACCCACCCCTGGAGAACACCAGAGTGGAGTTTTTTGGCAAGGAGGCTCTGACAGAGGCTGGGCCTGGGGGCCAGGGGTGGAAACCCCCTGCTCAGGGCTGAGGCCAAGCATCACTCACATCACTGAGCAAACCTCAGCGTCAGGTTCCGCTGCTGCGGGGAAGGCAGGAACAGCCACAGCCTGCAGTTCTACACGTAGGCAAGCAGAGCCCAACCTGCACAGCACCCCTGACACGTCCCCAGCCTCACCACATGGATCAGGAGAGGTCCCTGACACCTGCCAGCCCTGCTGAACAGCACAAGAGTCACCGGAAGGTTCTTACAGGAAAAGAGGGAAAATCCTCCTTCCACATTTTATACATTTCAGCCTAGAAAAAGGCTGGTGTGGCAGAGACATCTCTGTCTCTATTTAAGTATCTGGTTTTGGACCCAGCAAATCTGTTGGTAGCAGGAAACATCCTGTCCACCTGCTTCCTGCTGTTCCGGCTGGCGCCGCCCGCTCCGGCACCACTTGGGGTCAGCCCAGGGATTTATGAGGTGGGTGCTGCTGGGTGGCTCTGCCCCAGAACAGGGCGTGTCCTGGGCATGCCACACTCCTGGTTAGAACACAGCCCTGCTTCCACAGATGGCAGCAACTCCCAGCCCCGGGATCTGTTCTGTATTTCTGCACAGAAGCAAGAACAAAGCCCAGGCTGCCGTTCCCATCCCCACTCAGCCAGAGCAGCTGTCCAGGGCGAGGGCAGAGCTTTACACAGCCTGATCTGGGAACCAAACTCCTCTGCTCCCACCCCCCAGACCCCTGCACACGCAGCAATCACCAGGCAAAACTGAGTTTCCAGGGAATGCAGCAGAAAACACCTGGAAGCAGTCAGAACTCTTGGCTCCCTCTAGGACAACAGGGAACTGTGCAGCCTCACCACATTTCACTCTCTGACCTCCACCCCCTGAGCACTTGTCCCAGAGCTCAGGGCTATTTAACCCCATGGCAAAACAGGATTGTTGTCCCCCATTGCCCCAGTGCAGCTTCCTCCTGGCACAGGGATGGAGCCCCCACACAGCTCTGGCACTGCCCTGCCCCTCCTGCCCCACAGCCAGGGCAGCTGCAGGATCACAGGGACAGCACCTTTCTCTTACCCTGCACCTCTACTCCCACCAGTCTAGTTCCAAAACTTACCTGCTGGGCATCACCAGGTGTTCAGCAGCAGTGAGAAGGGGACTGTGAGGCAAGAGCTGTCCCAAAAGGGTGTGTTTGAAGTCAACAGCAAGACCCTCTAATGCAGATCCAAGTCTGGGGCAGAAGTCCTTGGTGGTGATTTACAGAGCTGCAGGAACTCCTCACAGGCTGCTACACCAGGGTCATGGGGGACCACAGAATCCCAGAGTATTCTGAGTTGGAAGCGACCCACAGGATCGAGTTCAAACTGAGCTGGCACAACTCCCTCTCCTTCCAGGTGCTTCACTAAACATCACATATGGAAAAGTGCTGTTACTCCTGCTTGGGACAAGGTCTGATGTGCACCAGGACTGAGGAGCTGATCATGGACAGGCAGCAGAATTCAGTGCCCTGCTCCTCACCCCACTTCAGTCACTCCTCCTCATTTGCACCTGCACTGCAGCCCCTCCTCTGCCTGCACCACTCCTCCACCAAGACCCATATCCAACCACATCAATCTCCAACCACATCCATCCTGGATCCATCCTGTCCTCCTGAAAGGCCTCTCTCCCTTCTCAGTCAGCCCAGAGCCATAGAAAGTTTCAGGGTCGCTTCTTCCTCACAGAAATGAATCAGTTTAGTCAAAAGCCAGATCAGCGATTGCTTGTGGGCTTTCAACAGCCACGATTTCCACACTGCTCTTAGAAATCACACTGGGTTGAGTCCTTCATCACTGCTTTGGTTATTTTAGCTTATCCCCTCCAGCTCCTCTCCCTCCCTGTTTATCTTCTCTGAAAAGCACTTTCTGGTTTTAAAAGTTTAGATCTTCTTTTCAAAGACAAAACACCAGCGTGAGAACTTGGAGTACCTTTACATTCAAGAGAGACTTTTTCCTTACGACTCCTCTTTGAAATAATTCCTTTGTTTGATCATTTATGCCTTTTTCTTTCCTGAAACTTGGATCTGTTGGGCTGGGAAGTAAGGTTACGGTTGATCACTTCTGCTTTGCTCACTGCTTCTCAGGCACTAAAATATCCCACTGTTGGTGAACACCATCCTGCTGCAGTAAAACAAAGGTGGATTTTGTTTGTAAATTGTTTCTGGAAAGCAAACTGGAAAGTTCTTGGGAAGCAAAACCTCCTGCTTCTTCCTGAACAACAGAACACAGGACCACTTTGATTAGCACCAAAAGGATTTTAAATGAACAGTTCCAGGGAGCTCCTTTCAAATCATAAAATGTCAATTTTACATAAAAGTGTGTTTACAAATAGTTTCTGCTTTACACTCAGCTCTGCCCATTACTGACCAGAAGTTATATACATAAAAACTAGCTCAGCAGCTTCAACCACTTGCAAGGGAGGACTGCAGAATTTATTTAAGAAATAAAAATAGCATTTTCCTGGTTCCTAGAAATTCTCTTCAGCCTGCCAGATTCAGTCACCTGCCGGCTCCTGCAGCCTCAGAAGAGCACTAAGCTTTTGGGGAGAAGGGGTACTGTGGGTGCCACCAATCCAGGAGCCTCACGCTGTGCACGGGGTCCAGCACCACCTGCACCCCCTGCTCCAGGCGGGGCTTCTTCCCATTGCGGACAGGGGTGTCCTGGAACACGAGGCGCACGCGGTGGTGCCGCATGTCGGTGCTCACGTTGATAGTGAACTGCAAGAGAGGAGAGACCAGGACGTGCTTCAGGAAAATCAACAAAAAGAGTTCTCACTTCTAGATTTTTGGGAATTCTCCTGGACTGTCCAAGTCTGGAGTATTTCAGAGTTTGTCCCAGTTCCAGGGCCAGTTTATGGCCCTGTGGGTATAACCCAAACTGTGAGTTCTACACCCTCTGTGTCATCTCTGATGGACTGGTAACAAAAGGATTGTTTGCAGCAGCTGCCCAGGGCACACCTGACACCTCAGGCTCTCAGAACCCTGCCAGGCAGGGCAGTGTCTTTGTCTTCACACCAGTGACTCAGCTGTGGTAACTCCCCTCCAGGGAGGCATCAGCACCTTCACCCCCAGCCTGAGGGGTCATCTCTGCTAATGGATTGGCATAAGGGACTGGCATAAGGGGCAGCTGCAACCACCCAGACCATCAGAGGTTCCAAAAATATCCC